ACTTCTTGATGGCTCTGCTCTCAAAGCCTGTGGCTCCTTCAAGCCAGACTTACACTTTTGGGAAACACCAACCGTATTTTATTTAACACCTGGGACTAATTAAGCCCAGCTTTACTGTTGGGCAATTAGTTTACATGTCTGTGCCCTGGTGGAAAAACAAACCTGTTTGTTTCCAGCTTGTTTCACTCGCAGGTTCTCAACCTGCAGCCTCTGGGCTGCAAACAAAGCCCAGCACTTTGTTTATTGCTGCAGTAGCTGAAGGGCTGAATGGAGCTTTGTTGTGTTGGGTGCTGAACAGCCATAAAAAGGGTGAGTCTGTGGCCAAGGAGCTTGTCCCAGCACGGACTTGGGGCCAGGCTGTGATGTAGAGCCAGAGCTGGGAACTCTGCCCAGGCCCTGCAGTTCAGACATAGCAAGGCAGGGAGAATATTTCATTTTATGTACAAAATGCTTGCACAAAATTACCCCGCCAGGCCTCAGCAGCATTCCCTGTGTGTGCTGATGGCAACCAGGACAGAGTCTGCAGCCTTTTCAAGCCTTCAGGTGAGCCCTGGCCTTGCTGTGGTGCGGATTGGACACGTTGGGCACCATCCAGCACCGCCAGGAAGCACCAAATCAGCCTGGAAGTGGTGGTTTTTGTGCTTCCCTCGGGTTCAGACCAGCATCCCAGGGGGTTTCCATCATTCCAGAGGGGTTCAACCCATCATCCTGGGGGGTTTCCATCATCCCAGGGGGTTCAGAATCCCACTGGGCTTTCCATCATCCTGGAGGTGTTTCCATCAAACTTCTGGGGTTTCCATCATCCCAGCAGGGTTTGCAGCATCCCGCTGGGGTTTCCATCATCCTGGGGAGCTCAATCCATCATCCCACTGTGGTTTCTCTCATCCTGGGGGATTCAGCATCCCATTGGGGTTTCCATCATCCCAGGGGGATTGAGTCCATCATCCCAAGGGGGTTTCCATCATTCCATTCAATCCTTCATTCCAGTGGGGTTTCCATGATCCTGAGGGGGTTCCCATCATCCTGGAAATGTTTCCATCATCCTGAAGGTGGGTTTGCACTGGAAACCCCAGTGGGGTTTCCATCATCCTGGGGCAGGGTTCAGTCTGTCATCATGAGGGGTTTTCCATCATCCTGCTGTTGTTTCCATCAACCCAGGGGGTTTCCAGCATCTGGAGAAGTTTCGGGATCCCACTATTGCCTCCAGGATCCCAGTGGGGTTTCCATCATCCCAAGGGGTTCCATCATCCTGTGGGGTTTCAGGATCTTGGCAGAGTTTCCATCATCCCAGAGGGGTTCAGGATCCCGCCAGGGTTTCCATCATCCTGGAAGTGTTTCCATCATCCTGGAAGTGTTTCCATCATCCTTGAAGTGTTTGCAGCATCCCAATGAGGTTTCCACCATCCCGTGGTGTTTCAGGACCCCCCCGTTGTTTCCATCATCCCAGGGGGTTCCAGGATCCCACCATGGTTTCCATCATCCTGAGGTGTTTCCGGCATCCAGAGGGGTTCCAGGATCCCGCTGTTGTTTCCAGCATCCCAACAATTTTCCATCATCCCAGGGGATTTCAGGATCCCGCTGTTGTTTCCATCATCCTCAGGTGTTTCCATCATCCCAAGGGGTTCCATCCTCCTGCTGTTGTTCACAGCATCCCTGCAGGGTTTCCATCATCCTGGAGGATTTCAGGATCCCATTGTTGCTTCCATCATCCCGAGGTGTTTCCATCCCCCCGCGGGGTTCCAGGATCCCGCCGCCGTTCTGGGGTCGCGGCTCCGTGGCCGCTCCGTGCAGCCACAGGACAGTGCAGTGTCACCGGAGCTCCTCTCTATCCCCCCGGCCAGCGAGGATTCCAAATCTCTGCTGGAAATTCAGCCTCATCTCCTCATCCTAGGGAGAAGAAGCAGCTGGGTGATTTTGGAGATTCAATGTGGGGGTTGTTGGTTGCCCCGTGAAACCGTTTTTTCAGGCAGATTTTCAGATTATCAGATTTTTCTGATACCAAACTAATCTGAAAAATAAACTTTCTAGCAACACCAGGGACTGAAAATTTCTATTCTTTATGCTATTTATCACCTCCTCCTCTTTGCTGTGAGCCTCTGGTCATTTCAGCATTCCCTGTTTTCCAGGATTTGTGCAGGTGATGGAGGTCTTGGCTTGTCAGGGTTGTGCTGCTCCATCCCCTCCTCACAGGCAGGTCAGGACTGGAGTAAAGCCCATTTTTGGAGCTGGTCAGGTACAAATCTGAGGGTGCTCAGAGCAGTGCTGGGTTGGGGTACAGGGCTGGGGGAATTTGCCTTGTAAGTCAGGAGTCTCTGACTCTGTATTTACCAGCCAGGAGGGACTGGAAACCCTGCAAAGCAGGGAAAAACAAGTTTTCCAGGGAAAAACAAGTTTTCCAGAGGGTCTGGCAGAACAGAGCCACTCTCTGGGGAAGGAAGTCTGCCCCTCTGTCGCTGTTCATTCCACACTGAGTGTGTTTGAGACAAGCCCCAGCAGACAGAACACCCCTGGAATGGCACCAGGCCACACTTGCAGCAATTAGTTTTTCCTTGGCCAGCAGCAGCACCATTCAATTAAACCCCAAATATTTTGTTCAGTTGCTCTTTTCTGGCTGTGCTCTGGGGGCTCAGACAATGGCCAGCGTGGCCTGGGGAGGAAGGAAACCACTCTGTCCACCCAGCCAGGGAACTGGCCCAAAATCCAGCCCAGCAATCAATCCCAGTCCCTTTTGAAGTGGGTTTTGCAGTGCAGAGCCAGCCCTTTCCAGTCTGCACAGAGAGTGTGGCTGGAGTGGAGCTGGGGGCTGTGATCCCTCACCCTCAGCCAGCTCCTCCTGGGAGCAAAGGATGTTTTCCCTGTTTTTTCTGGGCTATTTGGATGAGCAAACCTTCCAGGCAGCTCAGGGGGACTCAGGAGGCTCCTCTTGGGCATCTCCTGCTGCTGCTCCATCCCAGGAGGTGTGGATGTGACAGCTTGGTCAGAGAGAGAGCAAACCTGATGAGTTTTCTCACTGTGGACTTGTGAGACTTTTTAGGGAGTTGTAGAGAAACAATAATGGCTTGTTATTAAAAACAACCTGCAGGTGGTGTTTTCCTTACTTTCTGTTTGCCTGTTCTTCTCGAGAATTGTTTCTAAGAAAGGTGGTTTTGTTAATTAGCCAGATACAGGTGAAATGCATCGGAACAGTCTATAAAAGAAAGAGATTTTTGTATTAAAGCTGCTGCTGTGCAAACCAGCCTTCTTAAAGTCTGTGCTGCTTTCTTACCCAACAGCAACAAGGAGAGGAGTTCAGCAGGCTCCAAAAAGCAAATTTATGGCAGAACAAGAATTAGGGCTGGTCCAGCTCTGGGTCAGGTTCATCCTGCTTTGCTTACAGCAGAGGATTTAGGGGGATCCACCACAAAAAAGTACCACAGCTTCTTGCTTTTCCCTTCATCCATTTTTTAAATTTTTTTTTAGGTCAGCATCCCATCGGGACAGGGGCTGGCCAGGCCTTTGAGGCTTTTTTCTTTCTCCACGTCCATCTCACGGTCTGGTGGCTGCTGGGGCAGCCTGGGTGGCACCAGGGATGGTGGCCAGGAGCTCTGGCTGTGTCCTGGGGCTTTGGCACTGGCGGTGCCCGCAAGGGTCAGGGCAGGACACGAGGCTGCCAGGGCTGCCCTGCACTTGGCATCCACAGCGACTGCCCAGGGATGCAAATCCTGCCTTGCTCTCCCAGAGCCCCCCTGCAATCCCCTCCTGGGGTCTCAGGTTCAGGGAGTTTGCTTTAATACATGTATAATATATTTTAATTAACGAAATTAAAATATATTAATTAATAATATTAATATATTACAATAATTTAATTAATAATATAATATATTATCATTAACTACTATACTAAATATATATTTTAATATATGTTTAGTATAATAATTAATCTATGTTATATAAACTTAACACACTATTTAATTTTATATATATTTAATATACTAATTACTATTTTATTTAATATTTATTATCTAATATATAAAAATAATTTATATTTTAGTATATTTAATATATATTTTTTACATGTTACATCTCCCCCTGGCAACTTTTCACCCCTTAACTCTTCATTCAACTCCTCCTGGAGGAAAAGGCACCGCCAGGGTGGTTTGGGGGTTGGTCCATCCACACCCTGGTGCTTCCATCCTTTCCCTGTGTCCTTCCTCAGGGCCCCTCTCCCTTCGCAGGGAAAAGCAGGGCAGCTCGGCAAAGGCTCATTTTTCCAGGTTTGCAGCAGTGCCAGGCAATTCTCTCTGACCGAGGCTCACAAACTCAGCCTCGACATCCCAGAGCCGCCTTCAGAGCGAGGGAGGAAATGAGCCTTTTATCGCTGAGGTGTCCTGCGAGGGGCTCGTTTGGAAAATAGCGGGTTTGGTTATTTCGGGTGGTTTTTCCTTCCTTTGGAGGGGGATTGTCCTCGGTGGGAGCTGCGCGGTGGCAGCAGGGCAGGAGAGCAGCGCAGCCAGCGGGGCAGGAATGATGTAACTGCGGGGGAAGCGACTCCTGAAAGCGCTGGAGAGTTCTTGGGAGCTTTTTTCCTATTCCCTGCCATTGCTGTGGAGCCTTGCAGGCCATTTCCTCACATACTCCCTGCGTTTTTAAGGAAAACTTCGGTTAAAATGCACGATGGGGGTTTGTTTGTTGTTGGGGGGAAAAACCACCAAACCAAAAGCAAGGCAGGCTCGCTTTATCTGCTTTGTGTGCCACTATCAGCACGGCCTCTTTCCTTTCTGGCTTTTCCTGGGGTGTTTTTTATCCCCAGGGGAGCCCCAGCATCGCCTCCAGGGCTCCCCAAGCCCCTCCACAGAAAGGCTGAGTAGTTTTATACCGCTCCAGCCAAGACCTGCCTTCTGCACTGATGTCAGCGCTCAGGGCGGGACTTTTCCAGCCTTGTGGGTTTGGAGATTTTCTTTTTTTTTCTTTTTTTTTTTTTTTTTCTTTTTTTTTTCTTTTTTTTTTTTTTTTTTCTTTTGGACAATCCTGGCAAAATTCCTAAGCAAAGTTTTTTTTTTTTCTTCTTCTTCTCCTTTCTTTTTTTTTTTTTTTTTTTTTTCTCGAGCAGCCCCTATCCATGTGCTGCCTCCGAGCCGCTCTCTTATTACTGCTCACTTCCTGAAAGGAGACTTTTTAGCAAAGCCTCCAACTCCAGCTCTGCCTGGGTCTGACAGAAGAAGTTTCATAAGGAAGGCGACACAAACCCTCAGCCTGGAAACTTTCTGACACGCGCAGGGCTGAGGGGGAGAGAGGAACTTTTGGCTGCTGCTGGGAAAAAGAAGAGGAAAAAAAAAAAGAGAAGCTGAAGGAATTAAAAGGGAGAAAAAAAAAAAAAAAAGAAGAAAGAAGGGAAAGCACTCGAAAAGGTAAAACACTCTTTAAAATAATTTTTCCAGAGGAGACTCTTTGAGGTTGGAGTGGGGTGGTCTGGGGTGGAGGGAATGCGAATGTTCTTTGAAATCAGAACCGTCTCCCTGGAGAAGGAATGAGCCCGGAGAGCTTTGCACGCTGGAAAAACATTTATGAGAATGAAAACCATGTTCACTCTTCTCCAACATTCAGAGTTTCCATAAAAACGCAGGCTTGTGTTTCAAAGTGGCTGCAGGCAGCGGGAGCCGGGCTCTGTGCGCTGCCTCCCTCGCCTCCCCCGGCCCCTCTTTTTAATTGCATTAACCCCGGGCTGGAATGTTTGCCTCTCTAAAAACCCCAAATCTGCTCTGCTGAGCTGCCGGGGCCAAGGCTCAGTTCCAGGGCGCAGCAGCTCCGAGCCCTGCTGCAGAATGAAACGTTCTTGCCGCCCTCATTGCTGAGAAGAAACACAGCCCGCGCTCCCTCTCCCTCTTTCCCCGGCTCTCTCTCCATCTTCAGGAGCTGCCAATGCCTCTCTCCCTCCTGATGTGCTCAGAGGATTATAAAGAATCTGCCCTGAAAAGTTGCAGTGTCACTGACTCCGTGTGCATCCACTGCTCTGCTCCGTCCTCCCTTTGCTTTGATTAAGTTTTAAAGGTGTTTTTAATTTTTTTTTTAATCAATCCCTCAGAAGATGTTATTTTAAACATCAAAGTAAATATTAGTGGTGGTGAGATGCCAGAAGATTATCTCATTAGAGCTGAAGGAGCTGGGCTATAAATAGAAAGGAGTTTATAAAATAACCTTGGCAAATATCTTCCAGAGGGGAAGAAACAACCAAGAGGGAAGTGTGCAGCTGTGCTGGGGGCAGGTAAATTTCAAATTTCACACCGAGGCCCATTTTGGGGGACTTTTTTGTGGTCAAGATGCAAACCTCAGGGGGCATTTGTGTTCCTGCTGCAATCCCTGCCACCATCCCCGGTGCTGGAGCTCTGGTTCTGGTTGTGCTGGGTTTTATCCTCCTTAGCAGCACCCAGTGGTGCCAGGGTGGGATGCTGGGCATGGCAGGGAGGGATGTGGGGAGTCTCTGCTCCCTAAGGTGGAAGGGGAGATGCTCTGTGGGACCCCCAGGTGATTCCCACAGCGGGATGTTCCCCGAGCCGGGGCTGGGACTGCTCCGAAATTCTCCCATCAGTGAGGCTTCCCGCAGTCCTTGGGAGGCTCTTCCCAAAGTTTCTCCATATATGGAACGTGCTGAGTGCTCCGGTGGCTCCATCCTCAGCCTCCCGCTGTTCCTGCTTCGCCCCAGGGCAGCACCCTCTGCTCCCCTCCTCCTCCCCAGACCCCAAAAACCTCCCGGCGCCTCTCTGGGGCGGCTCCAGCCGCATTCCCCCGCGGCTGCTGCTGCTGGGGTGGGATGGGAAAGGTGCTGTCATCTCCTGCAAATCATCTCCTGCAGATCAGCCCTGCCCCGCTCGGGCTGGGGGGGCTGAGCTGTTTCGTTTGGCACCGGGAGGCCCCGATAACCCTCCGAGAGGCTGAAGAGGAGCCCCGAGGGGAGGAAGGTGGTGCTGCTCAACATAAACAGTGTCTGTTCCTCCAACCTGAAACATGAGAGGCTCCCTTATCACCCATGGCTCCAGGCCACCCAGGGACTGCTGGGGAGGAGCTGCTGTTCTCACCATTCCATGGAATCCTGGTCCAGGGGCTGCCTCTTCCCGAAGGAGCAGCTCCACGCAGGGTCCTCGGCACAGGATGATTCCACACAGCCTTATCTGAAACCCCCGACTCCAAACCCCCATTTCTTGCCAAGTTTCCAGCGATGAATTCCTTCTGAGCTGGGAGCACTGCAGGATGTGTTTGTCACGTCCTGCCCTGCCTCGAGCTTGGGTTAACACAAGATGAGCTTCAAACAAACAGGATTGGGACCAAACCTGTCACGTTCTCAGCAGCTGTTGGCTGGGTGATGTCAGCCCAGAGGTGCTGAAGACACACAAGGCAGAGAGGTCTTCGCTTGACCCCACCACCGTAGGAAATGTTTGCAGGGCGAGGAGTTACAAACATTTCCCAGGAACTGAGCGGGTCGGATCCCATGTGGGAGAGAGGCACATGGAAAACCACCAGCCGGGATGCAGCCTTGTTTTCCAGCACTCAGGGAGGTTTAAAGGGACACCATCCAAGCCAATTTTCCCATCTTGGTTCCTGTGAGGGCCTTCAATGGAATCTGCAGCCAGCTGAAGGCTTGGGAGAGTCTCCACTGGGAAAGTGCTGGAATATTTGAGCTCCATCTGACTTCAGTGGAGCAACATCAGTGCAGAGTCTCCATCCAGCTGCTCCACTGCTACTCCTCTCTCACCTTCTGCATCCTCCCAGGCTGGGAAATGCTTGGGATATTCCATATCTGACTACTCAGCATCTTTAATGGAATCATGGAATGGTTTGGGTTGGAAGGAACCTTAAAGCTCATCCAGTGCCACCCCTGCCTTGGGCAAGGACACCTTCCACTGCCCCAGATTGCTCCAAGCCCTGTCCCACCTGGCCTTGGACACTTCCAAGGATGGGACATCCGCAGCTTTACATTTCTGCTTATCACCTATTATCAATATTGTGTTTCCTCCTCTTACATTGTAGCTTAATTTAAAAGGAAAAATGTCTTAAAATGAATCTATCCCTGTGCAGTCCTGCAAATCTTTCTGAACTCAAACACTCCTAAATGTTGGTCCCACATGAGCTAAACTGGCAGGTGAAGTCCTGGCCTCCTCCTGTGGGATTTGTGACCTCGGTGGGAAGTGGCTTCGACCAAAATGTAAATGCAGAGGAGGAGGTGATAAATAGCATAAAGAATTTTCAGTCCCTGGGGTTGCTAGAAAGTTTATTTTTCAGATTAGTTTGGTATCAGAAAAATCTGCTAATCTGAAAATCTTCCTGAAAAAACAGTTTCACGGGGCAACCAACAACCTCTATATTGAATCTCCAAAATCACCCAGCTGCTTCCTCTCCCTAGGATGAGGAGATGAGGCTGAATTTCCAGCAGAGATTTGCTGTCAGGGTTGGGGACTCTTCATTCCCTGGCCATGGAGGAAGGGGCTGCATCTGAGCCACACCACCCGGGCCACATTTCCCTGAGTAAAGAACCTACAGGAAGAGGAAAAGGCCCAAAATCTCTGCCCAGGAGCTCCCAAGGAGCCAAAGCCTGGCCACGATCTGCAGGTCTGTAAGGGCTGAGGGATTCCACAGCTGCAGTGTTCTGCAAGGCTTCATCCCACAGGAGGCATCCCTGCTCCTGCAGGGCTGCCCTGGCATGGGGGTGATGCCTCAAGGGGCTGGAACAGAGGCTGGATGGAGTTCAGAGGAATAAAGTGATTATTTATTGAAGAGCCTTCCAAGGCCACACCCTGGCACTACCCGAATGGCTCCAAGATGGAAGCAAAAAGGGCTTGGTCACGAGATCTCACATTTTTATAAATTTTAGGCCATTTGCATATAGGAGTTAACTGTCCAGTTAATAGCTGCAAATGATGAAGTTTCATCCTCCTTGCTTGCCCACCCTCCTCTTGTGTGGGCAAGTTGTTTGTGCTTTGAGCCTGAAATTTGAAGTGATTGTCCTTGAGTCTCCAGTTGGAATAGGATTGTTTTGTCTTCACCAACCTGTGAAAAGATCCTAATATAAATCCTATATCCCATTATATATCCTATATATAGGATATATATATAGAATATAGGAGATATATATATATATCCTATATATATTCTTAATATAAAGGTAAAAGCTGCACACCACAACAGAACAGAAAAACTCAAAACCCGAGGTATCTGACCTGGCTTGGGGCTGTGAGTGCCTCTGTCACTGTCTCTGCCCTCCACTGAGGGGACCCCGGGGTCGTTCCCTGGGGTGATCCCATGGCCTTGCACCCACTGTTACCTTGGCTGTCCCCAAATCCCTCTGTCCTGCTCTGGAAGGAGCACTTTCTCTGTGTCATCCCTTCTCTGAGTGCTTCTGGTTTCCTGGGAGGCCAGGCAGGTCCAAATTGGCTTTGCTGCTTTAGGGTCCCGCTCCAGAGCTCCCTGCATTTCCTCCTGTGACCCTCTGGGACAGGCTGGGCTGTGAGGTCCTGATCTAACACAAAGGGAACTCAGTTCTGAGAGTGGGATGGGACCAGAGACCCCGTCGTGTCCCTTCCAACCTCACTTAGTCTTTAATTCAGCCTGGCAGGAGCAGCTCAGCCTGAGGGGAGCTGGAGCTGTGGATCTGTCCCCGTGGCCAGGACTGGCCCATTGCTGGGTGAGGCTGTGCTGTGACAGTGACAGAAGGAGCTGCTGAGCCCTGGGCTCACTGCAGGTCCCTCAGTGGTTCTCACTGCTCTGCTGGGCAGCAGGAATCACCTCAGAGGTTTTTTTTGGGAAGCTCAGCAGAGCTCTCCTGTCTCTCCAGCTCCAGCCCAAGACTGTGGGTGCACAAGCTGTGGCACCTGGTGACAGGGGCTGTAGGGGCACTGTGCCCTCCCCTGTAGCACGTCCAGCCTGATTACCAAACACCTTTGGTCTTTGTTCTCTGTGAGGGTGGGCAGGCCCTGGCACAGGGTGCCCAGAGCAGCTGTGGCTGCCCCTGGATCCCTGGCAGTGCCCAAGGCCAGGCTGGACAGGGCTTGGAGCAGCCTGGGACAGTGGGAGGTGTCCCTGGCATGGCAGAGAAATTGAACTAAATGAGCTTTAAGATCCCTTCTCACCCAAACCATTCTGTGCCTGGGGTATGGCCCTGTCCTACAGCCTGGCTGACAAGGAGAAAACTCTCTGTGTGAGAGCTGTGACAGCTGCCTGGGAGCTGGAACTGCACAAACCACATAAACCTGCCTCAGCTGGGACTCACAGCACAGAGCAGCTCCCTCCAGGAGAGGGCTGGGGTGGTTATGCAGGTGAGCACAGCTCGCTGTTGGCACACGAGGCTGTTTGTCTTTATGCAAGCCCAGGGCTCGGCTGGGTTGTGTAAGCACCGGGATGGCTGGAGGGGAGCTGCGGG